TTTAGAGGGAAAGGAATGATAAAAATTAAAAAAAATAAAATTAAAACAAAAAAAAAATTAGTTTAATCAACTTTAAAAAATTAATGATATTTCCTATGTCTCCACTGTCGTCAAAGAATTTTTTAAAGCAATTCTTAATTTGGGCATTTAATTTCTCTAGAGATTTACCCTCTTTTAAAATTAAATAAAATAATTAAAATTAAAATGATTCAAAAATAATTGTAAAGCACTCTTAAAATTATCTAAGCATCCTTGCAAAGTTAGTTAATGGTTTAACATCAATTAATTTTAAAAAATATTTTTTGTATGATTAATTAATAATTTATTAATTATATTAATTAATCTTGAATTTCACAAATTTGTAAAAGTCGATAAAAAGCTTAAAAATCTAAATTAAAATCTTATAACCTTTTTTTGAATAATTATAATCAAATAAAATAAAATTTATTAAATTTTAGATTTAAATTTTTTATTTAATTTGTAGTACTGAATATATTAATTAAATCATATAAAAATCCAAAATGATATAATAAATCAAAACAATTTATGAAAGTACCAGCGATCATCTCAAACCTCTCTCGAAGTTTTAAATTAAGTTTAAATTATAAAAATGTTTTAAAAGTTATAGAAGTACAAATTGAATTTAATCAATTCCAATATTTTTTAAAAGTACTAACAAGCCATCTAAAGCCAACATGATGATTTGTTGTAATTTTAAGTAAAATTTAAATCATAATTCAATTTAAAAATTATAATAAATTCAATTTAATTCAAAATAATCCCAATGGTTTTATAAAAGTGTTTTGTAATCACCCTTGACTATATAGAAAATTCTCATAAGTTTTATAAATATTTTGATTTTGTATTGATTTTTTTAAAAAAATTAATTATTTAGTGATTATAAATAAAAACTAGTTTAAGATAATCATGATCTTTTATGAAAGTGTTCTCTAATCACCATTGAATATAGAAAGTATTCTCATAACTTTTGGAGAATTTTTAATATTATTTTGAAATTTCATTTTAAAAATAATTATAATTTAGCACTAAATCAAAATTAATTTTAAATTTGCATGAAAATTCATGAGGTTACCTTTATTCTATGTAATTGATTTCGTGCAATTTGGAATTGATTGAATTCAAAATGAAAGTGAAACTTATTTAAACTAAGTATTGAAGATTGATTGTTATAGTTATATACTATATAAATAAATAAAATAAAATCTTTAATAATAGCAACGAAGAGAATTTAAATTTTCTTAAACATTATAGGATGTTATCTCAATATTTGATGATATGTAAAGTCTACTATGTTTTGGGAGTTGAGGATGGAGGAGCCAACTACAAGTTAGTTCCACTAATTTTAAAGACTCTAAACCAAATTAAATTCGAATCAAAACTAAACATTGAAATAAACATTTAAAACATTAATTACTTAAATTGAAATCATCCTTTGATTAAACTCAAAATTAAATTGAAATTGAATCATAAAGGTCCACTAATAGCATTTATAGCACATTACTCTAACATACCATACTTGCTTGGCCAACAACTTAGATATAGGTTAAGACAATTTTATTTTGTTTTCCTTGAGTGTATTATGATTGTTATTTATTGTGGATGTGATGTGATGGATGTTGCAGTAGATTGAATGTTTAAGACTATTCATTAGACTTAATATGTGTTTTCTATGGATGATCATGCTTAGCAAGGCTAAATTCATAGTCATGTAAATCTAACTAATTAGTTTAAAAATGCTCTTTCCTAATTCTTAAGGCCATAAGCATGATCATGTAGGATATATACTATGCGTCGTTATGATTTATGAATGTGGTTTCATACAAACGTCTGCTTTGTAGATTTTAGTTCAAGTTTTCGGTTTTCAAAAATATGTTTTTTTTTACTTATTTTAAAAATAATTAGTAGAAAACTTACAAAACTAAATGAACAAAGATTAATCTTAATAATTGATGATGCTTAGTAGAGTTTGGATAATCCACTAAAATGATAAAGAAAGGATCCACATGTGTGTATTTAGTTTGATTAGGCTAAGCTATATAATGGTTAAGCTCAACTACTTATTTTTTGTACTTTTCTTTCGAGGCATATTATGGTGGCTAGCCACACCAACCTATTTTGTTAATTATATTTTGATTGCTTATGTTTTGATGTGTTTCTTATATTTGTGTATTAGAATATATTTCTTACTTGGCTTAGTTTAAATCTATTGGCTTATAACTAACCTACGGTAATGATTCTATTTTCTAGGGCAAATTTTGGTTCCTTCTATTTAGAGTGACAACATTACTTAATCAAGATGTATAAAATACTTTAAACCCTTGATCTAAAGTTATTAAATGAATCTCTATGGTTTTATTCTTGGTCAATGGTTAAGTTCTATCACAACTAGCACTAAAACCACCCTAGTTATTCCATTGATAAATCAAACCATTTCACGAATAAATCATAGCATAATCAACACATAATTATGTAGATAAGGGGTTAAAATTAGAGACAATATAAGACATTACACAAGCACTAACAAATCTAATGAAATCAAGTTAATTGTTTAAAAAATAGAAAAATTAAGTAAAAGGAGAGGCATTTAAGAAAATTAGAAGTCATTTTTATATTTTATAATTTTTTACAAGAGAAGGAATGATTAAAATTGAAAAAAATTAAATTAAAACAAAAAAAAATTAGTTTAATCAACTTTAAAAAAATTAATGATATTTCCTATGTCTCCACTGTCGTCAAAGAATTTTTTAAAGCAATTCTTAATTTGGGCATTTAATTTCTCTAGAGATTTACCCTCTTTTAAAATTAAATAAAATAATTAAAATTAAAATGATTCAAAAATAATTGTAAAGCACTCTTAAAATTATCTAAGCATCCTTGCAAAGTTAGTTAATGGTTTAACATCAATTAATTTTAAAAAATATTTTTTGTATGATTAATTAATAATTTATTAATTATATTAATTAATCTTGAATTTCACAAATTTGTAAAAGTCAATAAAAAGCTTAAAAAATCTAAATTAAAATCTTATAACCTTTTTTTGAATAATTATAATCAAATAAAATAAAATTTATTAAATTTTAGATTTAAATTTTTTATTTAATTTGTAGTACTGAATATATTAATTAAATCATATAAAAATCCAAAATGATATAATAAATCAAAACAATTTATGAAAGTACCAGCGATCATCTCAAACCTCTCTCGAAGTTTTAAATTAATTTTAAATTATAAAAAATATTTTAAAAGTTATAGAAGTACAAATTGAATTTAATCAATTCCAATATTTTTTAAAAGTACTAACAAGCCATCTAAAGCCAACATGATGATTTGTTGTAATTCTAAGTAAAATTTAAATCATAATTCAATTTAAACATTATA